CCCGGTGATAGAACGAGTTGCCGGACTCGAGGATTGCCGTGTCCTCCCCCTCTCTTCGGACCTCGGATAATCCAATAATATGCCAGCGCAACTTGTCTACCTCTTCTTCCAGCTCCAGTATCTTCTCGTCAGTCCTCAGGGTGCGTGCGTTATATGTTGCCAGGTCGAGTCGTCGTAGGTGGCAACCGAACCTCCACCGGAGATTCTTAGCACCCCCTGCCCCGCCGTTACCATGGTCGCCACCGTAGCCAGGAATAGCGGGGCCGCCGGGGACTGGGGGCCGTCTGTTTGTGTATTTATTCATTGGGGGGTATTTGCCATAGTTGCCACGCTTGGCGAGCGGGTTGGCAACCGCAGTTTTTTATTACGTCACAGTTGTCATCAGGAAGACGCTGCTGCCCATCTCCTGCCTGTCTCCCTCTGTCGCCTCTTACGACACCCACGGGAAGATATGGGGTAGTGGTTATTCTTAACCGCCACTACACGGCTTCTACAGTATAAAGTGCTACCTGATTTCAGTTGATACAAAGGTACTACCAGTTGTAAAACGTCTTTAATGTCGGGGGGGGGGTATTTCAATTTCATTGTAAAGGCAGTTAGCGCGACAAACCCGTGCGTGTTTCAAGGCAGTACTGCCTCCTAGTGAACACGGAAATGGAAATACGCTGTCGGGGGCATAGTGGAGAGGCATGGTATAGGCGTGTTGACGAAGCATCGGAAACACCGCCTCCCTGCGTCTCTTCAACCGGCAGCTCACGAAGACACCCACACCGGTATGCCCACAAATGGACAACACGGGAAAACGCTACTACGACGCCCAGAAAAGGGCGGAGATGATGGCACAACACCTGGAAGCACAGTTCAAGACCAACCCTATATCGGAGGGGTACTCAGAGTATGTAGAAAACATACAAGACCGCGTACACGAATACCTGTCGAACCCGGCACCCATTATAGGCGTCGACGACTTTATTTTGCCGACGGAGGTAGGGCACACTATCATGCGCCTTCCCGCCCGTAAAGCGCCGGGATTCGACGGAGTTACCACCATGGCAATCAAGCAGCTGCCCAGAAGAGGAATAGTGGAACTCACCAGATTATTCAACGGCATACTGAGAACTGGCCACTTCCCAAACATCTGGAAGAAAGGAAGAATCGTCGTGCTACCAAAGCCGGGGAAGGACAGGAGGCACCCGGCTAGCTACCGCCTCATAACGCTATTACCGCACATGGCGAAACTATTCGAAAAAATTCAATTAAGAAAAATCACACCGCACGTCGCTCTACAATCGCAAAATTGGCTCGCGTGTTACACTATCTTGCGGCCGAACATAACCGCGGCCACATCTGTGTGGGTTCCTCCTAGATATGGAGAAGGCCTTCGACAGAGTGTGGCACGCAAGGCTGATCTACAACCTAATTAAACACACCACCACACCGCCGATGCTTGTGCGGCTAATAGTGTCGTTCTTGGAGGGGCGGAGCTTTCAAGTCAGCCTAGAAGGGGCTGTTTCGGTAGCACGACCGATCGAAGCGGGAGTGCCACAGGGCAGCTACGCGGTCTACACCAATGATATCCCCACACTCCAAGACCAGCTGGAGGAGTGGGAAGAGGACGTCGTCCTTGCATTATATGCAGACGACAGTGCGTACTTCACGTCATCTCGTGGGGTAGAAAATGCTGCAAAGAAGTTTCAGCGACTGCTGGACCTGCTACCAGAGTAGCCTGACTAATGGAGGATGGCGGTCAACGTCGGGAAGACCACCGCCTTCATGAAAAGGCTGAGAAGGACGCCACCAACACTGCAGCTCCGTGGGCAGGACGTAGGTTGGAAGACGACCGTCACCTACCTCGGATGCCAGATCGATCTCTCGCGGCGAATGAACCCGCAGATCGACTACGTTGTGAGGCAGGCCAGAGCCGCGCGAGCGAAGTTGTATCCCATACTGGCATCCAAACTCCCTATAAACACCAAGATAGGTATCTGCAAGACCTACGTGTGCTCGCGGCTGACATACGCAGCACCAGCCTGGTATGCGTTGACCTCAGCCACTCAGCGCAAGAAGATGCAGGCCCAGCAGAATCTTGCACTACGAGTGATCGTGGGAGCCGGCCGCTACGTCAGAAACGACGTCATAGCGCGTGACCTAAAAATTGAATCAACCCACGAATTTGTGGCCCGTACTGCGAGACGGTTGTACGACCGCGCAGACAACGGACCACACCAAAATTTTCACAACATAGCGCCACTACAAGCGCGTCCACCTGACGGGCGACCACTCCTACGTGAACTTCTGCGCTCACCGCCCGGCGAGGGGGAAGCCGGGGACGAGTGAGAGTCCCGACACCGGATTAGATGGCGTGAAGTACGCAAAATATCTACATATAAGCTGCGCCCAAGCGTAGCACCTAAGACAGGGGGAGCCGTGCCCCCCCCCCCGCGATGAAACCCGGGTAATGAGGGCAATCTCGACACCCGCAGGCCTTCAAAACCCAATAAAGGGTCAAGAAGAGGAGGAACATCAGCTGTCGGGAGATGCTGCCGCCCGCTTTGGTGGCTTTGGTAATGTGGTAAGTATACCGCCGTCGCAATGTATGCTAGAGGTTGAAACGAAATTTTGAATAAAATAACTGGACATTATAGTTTACTTAAAAACTTTTCTTGAACTAGACAATTTTTTATTAATACAAGAAAAATACATTTACATGTGTTGTATTACCAAATATTTTGTGACATTTTCTTGTTATAGATGTTTCCTGTTTTCGATTGTTAAATTAAATTATATAGTGTATTTGCATTTAGATAAATAATTTTATAAGAATAAATACGTGTGGCACTCGGTGACTGCGGCGGTAAAGCTATTGCATAGCATTTTTTATCAACTTATGCAATTATAATTATTTATTTATTTTATTTATGCAGTTAAGTCATTGATATTAAATCAAGTTACACTTTTTGAGCGTGGTGACCGATAAGAAAACAATTTTTTTTCTCTTATTGAATAAATGAGAAGTTAATATTGTTTAAAATATTTTTAATATCTTACAATACATGTAGGTTATTCAGGAATTTTTATCATTGAGTTAGCAGCTAGTGTACACGCACACAAACACCGTGCCGAAGTCTGCCGAACTGAAACGATGTTAGACGATGCACGGCTTTCAACGCCACACCTCCGTGCCCGTCGGATTGGGGAGCGTGAGGTTTTTTTTCGTTACGGAATTTCTGGATTCGGTCCCCGCGCTCAAGGCCCGCGATAGAAGCTATGCAATAGCTTAAAATAAATATGTAGGAAACGGTATGGCCAGCCACATACTACACATGGAATTCCGAAACCGAACGAACCGTCCGCCATGCAATCTCGTTTTGCCCGCAAAATTTCGAACAGAAAACTGCCGTAGATGTTTGACGGGTCCTTGATTTTATATGGGACTTACTGCATTCGGAATTTCGTGTGTTTATGTAGACGGGCCTTGTAGACATTGCATTTTTCGAAAATGGCACTTATAATTAGTTATATAAGTACATTTTTGCTGGAAAAGGCATTTCATCTTAGTTCTCAGGGCAGGGATGATAACGTAACTGCGTTTTGATTCTTAATCGAGGATAATGTGGATGTTTATAGGCCACAGCATCCACTTACCATCAGGTGGACTGTGTTCGTTTGTCACCCTTATTCTATATAAAAAAAAACTATAATACAGACTCCTACGTCACCAAGATGTATTGTCCAGCAGACAGTAGAGTGCGCTGACACAAGGTCGCGTCCCGCAAGCATAGATAAACTAGTATAATCGGGAGTAGATACGCCACTGTTTTAAAATTATTAATTGCAAGCTACCTCCTGAAGATGGCGCTGATTCTTTACATGGTCACCCACTAGAGGGCATAACAATATAATATCTAATTTATTCATTTAACTAAACTGTATTTAAATGGGAATGTTGAAGAAAAAGTTAAGTTCAACCTGTAATAAAATACGAAGCTGTTATTTATTGATTTTACCAGTTTTACAATAGGTATGTACTTGTAATTTTACCAAGTCGTGGTTGTCTATTTATAAGTGACCATATCATGATTATTAATAAAAAAATCTAATCATTTTTATGTATGGGGCAAGACAAAAAAGATGGATTGCAGAAGCTTTTTGCAAGGTCCGTTATTCTCTTTTTAATTTTTTTAATACCATGAGAATCTTTTAATGTTGCATGTGTTATGTGATTAATTTCATATAAATTCTGATAGTGCTTCACTGTGAGAAAACAATGATTTTTTTTGTATAATCCTTTCATATATGTAGCTGGATCTTTGAGTATTCAATTGGTTTAATACTCAAAGAGCTGGATATATCATGTTTCTTAATTAATTCATTTTTGCACCTTCTACAAGATTTAAAAATCGGTTTACATTTTTTTTAATTATATATCCAGCAACATATTGTTTTGATTCTTTCTGGCTCATATTATCATTATTCTTATTTAAGACTTTAATTAACAATCCTAGCTATTATCGTCTTTCTTCATGATTTATATTGGGTTCCACAACTAACGATTTTAAATTTTGCAATAGTTTATTTCCATCATGTTCACAATTTGCTCCAACAGAATGATGTCATGTATAATTATTAATAATTAATGATTTATACGCATTAGAAAGTTGGTGAAATATTTCTGACACCATCACTCCGTACACAATAAAAAATAATTTCCAAAGGATCTTGTTTAAGTTTCGCGTCAATAGGGTTTGTACATAATATTTTTTATTTTAATAAAAGAAATATTGCTTTCATGCTTTCACTATTTTCGATCCATTTTTTTAAAGATGGAACTTGAACATATTTTATAAGCTCAGTCACATTTCTTTGCTTATGACCAGTTTCAAACCCTATTGAACGCAAAAGTGGTAAAAATTTGTTCCATTTCTTAAATCCTTTTAAAGGTTTTGCGTCGTCCATGTACTTTGATCCGTTGAATGAGTCTAACAGCTGATCAATCATATTTATAAAGATAGCTGTCCCTCTGCATTCCTCCGGCAATGCTTTATTTCCTGTAAAAAGAAAACAATATTATATTAACAATAGTGCTACTTTAACAGTTTGTCGTTTGCTTATACATAAAGAGGCTAGTTTAAACTACAGTAGCAAGCCAGTAGCAATATATATTACATGTAATAACTAATATACTAAGCTAGCATCCGGCGCGTTGCAGCCGAGGAGGAAATAATTCTAAAAATATTTTTTTTAATTTGGGAGAGTAATATTGTTTAATTAGGAATAATGTTACACAAGTCAAAATTGAATATGGCTTTCAATAAAATTTGTGGTACGATACGCGCACCACATATTGTAAGTTAATTGTACTATGACTATAAACTTCGGAAAAGTGCAAACAATAAGTTGAACAAAGTTTTAGCGCAATCTGATGAACTGTATGACAGCGCGTAAAATACGTACAAACAAATATTAATATTTATGTATTAGGTATAATATACACCGCGGGGCGAAAAGCTAATAGTAATAATTATTTACTACTAGCTTTTCGCCCCGCGGTGTTCCGTAACCAATTTCAAGTAACAAAATTCGTTTAATAATTTTTCACCATACGTATACATATTCAGTACCCAGAGTTCAATCCCCGCCAGCAGCAATGAAATTGTCAATTGCAATTTTAAGTGCTGATTTACTACGTGCTCGGCCGTGTAGGAAAATATCGTGAGGAAACCTGCATGTCTAAGAAATAGGAAAAATATATTTCGAAGACATATTTTTATTTTTTTATAGGATAGGGTGACAAGCACACAGTCCACCTAATGGTAAGTGGTTGCTGCGGCGCTTAGACATCTATATCTATCCTCTATACAAATTAAAATGCAGTTGCCCGTGGGACTAAGATGGAATGCCTCGTTTCCAGTAAAAAGGGTCTCCGATTCTCTACACTCACGATACGAAACACAGCAGCATTAAGCTACTATTTTACGCTGATATTCTGTGAGAGCGTGGTCCTTCCTTAGTCGAGCCGATCCATTCGTGCTACAACTATACTAGTAATTAGCGATGGGTCGTCGACGCATTTGTCTTTAACGAAACTAGACCGTCCATTTTCGTTCATCGACTAGTCGATCAACTAGTTAAATTTGTCAACTAGTTTACGAGTTAACTTGGTTTTGCAGACGTTTAAATTTTAATTCCGCGACGTCGTCTATGGATCGGCATTGTAGAAATACGTAGACCGTAAACTAGTGTAATGGCATTATGTATTAAGTCGGCATCTATTTTGATTTGAATTTCTCTACGTACTTTTCCAGGCTAAGGACTGGCTGAATAGAGTTAAATATAAAGTCGTATTCACTATTCAGGCGTATTTGGAAGATCAACTGATTTTATATACATTAATTAATTTTTTAACGTAAGATTTTATTAATATTTTAATTTACAACAATTCCAATCAAATTGCCGTTATAAAAGTTGCGGAAACAGAATCAGAAACGGATGTCAAAAAGCGTGCAGAACCTCCGCAGTTGCGGATGCAGAAGCAGAAGTCTGTTGCATCACTAATACGTATATAATTTACACCCTACACATGCTATAGAATAGAACGTCGGAAATAAATCTTAACTGCTGTACTCTGGTTACATTTACAAAACCGTCATCATTATTTTCGACACGCAGTTACCTACTAGTTTTCTAATAAAATTGTTTGATTGATAATATAACATATAACATCAAAATAATATCGAGTCTAATAGGTGTTTATTATATACAAAACTATTAGGTAAAATTTTTTTTACGAAATTTATATATGCATACCGCATCAATATTGTTTTTTTTAAATTATGAATCCATAAGGGAACCTATATAAAATCTGAGACTAACTAAGTTTTGGATAATAATACTTTACACGGATAAAGTCGTGACAATATTTTTAAAAGGCATTAGAAATTAATAAACTAATAAGTTAATTGGTTGCAAATTTATTTCAAAACCGGAGGATGATGAATACAAATTTTCAGTCCGAAATTTATATTAATTATAATTGAAATATTTTCTATTTCAATATTTTTATTAAATATTTTACCAAGCAACGATTTCTCGTAAAATACCTTTTTTTAAATTTATTGTTTAGCAATTTGATTTCTTTTTATAAAAACTCACGAGAACTGCAACGCCAAAATATTTATAAATCCTACCGACAGATGTCGCTATACGAAATTACATCGCGATACTGAACGGTGTTTCTGAAAAAGACATCAACAAACAGAACAGTGAAGTCTTTCTGGCTAACGAGAATTCCATCAATTTTTTGCTACGCGATCTAAGTGACTCACTAAAGTCGCGTGATTAAGGGTAGTAGGAGGCGGCTTCTTTGAGTAACGAAACGAAACTATCTATCGAATATCAATAGCGGCTTTTGAAACACTCTATTTTAATAGAGGGTTTTGAAACACTCTATTTTAATAGCGGCTTCAAGAGAGTGTTTCACGACGTGTTCAATTGAAAAACGTTGCGACCGTTGTTACCGTTTCGTATAGAATTAGACATGGTGTTAATGGTTAAATTTATTTATTTGTTAAATCAGTTCGCACGGTTTGATAAAAATATCACTTCAAAGTACACTGGCATTACTTCGAGACATTTTTGATAACGATCACATAAAGTCTTAGTATTATTTTTACACTTAGTTACTTACACTAATTACTGTACAATTATTCAACACTAATATATACAATTGTGTTTAGTTCTTATTTTACTAAAAATATTATTATTGTTGCACAAAAAGGAAACAAACGCACCTAAAGAGTAAAAACAAACCGTGTCATTAAACTTAAACACAAGACTAATTTAAACCGGGCCAAGGCCACTTAAATTATGGAATTGAACTATTTTTTGTTAAAAACATGCACACTTACTTTCTCATTTCTAATATCGCATCTATACGAAGGGAATAGAGTCATAGGTCAAATGCAAAAGCACCCGCGCTCACTCGACATTCGACGACCGGTGGTACTTCTACCATAGCGTAAAGAGTCGGTTTCTTTATTTACTCATGTGCTTCTACTTCAACAGCCGAAGCCGTCGCCGATGCGTCGCGAAAATAGCCGAATAAACGTTTTGTTACTGATCGCTCGTTCGTGATTCGTGAAATGTGAATCGTGTTACTGAGTAAAACATCTACTGTAATAGATAGTTTCGTTGCACTGCAATAACCCGCTACCCGCTATTGTGTGAATAGATAGTTTCAGTAACTAGTTACGTTTCGTAATGACCACTCCTAATTATGAATAAACTAGTAATAAAATTTTTAATATTACAAGAATATACTATAGTTGTTCAAATCGACTAAATCAATAGCACGCTACAAACTATAATTTTATTGCACGCTATTAAATACGCTATGTTATAGCGCGCTATTTATAAGAGCGTGTGGGCGGCCGGCAGGCCGTAATGCCTTGTAGCACACTAAACCTCATAACACTTTACATGTAATATAACGTGTTACGAGATTCGACGACGAGATTGTTCGTTGGACATACCGCGTGCTAAACAAGAATATAATTTATTAAAACGTTACATTTTATTCTAAAATAAAATAAACCAATGAACTCTCCTTCATACTTTTCAGGCTTAGGACTGTCTATAATTGATATAAACGTTATTTTTAATGAATGTAATTTACAAATCAATTATAGGCGTATTTAAAAGTTCATTGATTGTATATACAAAAATCATCTACTTACGTACGCTATTATATACAATTTTCTATTTACATTTTATTTATATTTAAAAATATTAGTTGGGCTACTTTTGTAGAGGATAGCCGTGTTCTTCGATCACTTATAATGTATCCTGACTTTGAAAATATACGTTCACAAGGAACCGAAGTTGCCATAATATTACAATGTTTCACAAATAATGTAAATAATTCGGGGTAAATGAATTTGTGTTCTCGCCAGTACTTTAAGGGACATTCCGTTCTTTTTATTAGGTTGTCAGCTAAATATTTCTCTAACTCTTCGGCAGCCCCAACATCTGATGTCTTAAATGAAAATTCTTTGTCTGTTTCGGTGTCAAATTCGGACCACAAACTGAGACGAAAAACGAGAGTCTGTGACTGTACAGAATTAGCAGCTGATGTTGCCGGTTCAGATGATGATGATGATGGTACAGGTTCGCCAGAATTTACTGGTTGATTTTTACTGTTTATTTCGTTTATAATTTTAATTTTTAGTATATTTTTAAGGTGTTCAATCTGTTCTTTGTTTTTTATAGCTTTTAGTTTGAATCGGGGATCAAGAATTGTGCTTAAACTTATCGTTTCATTTCTTTCTAAATTTCCTAGTCGAGTTTTCATGCCTTCTTTTAATTTTTCAGCGAGTTTTTTGACTGGGTCGTATAGTTCTTGTACTGTGTAGTAATTACATATGTTGATAAGGCTAGAAGATAAAATAATCGCCTTACTTGCAACCAAATAATTTTCGGCGCTCATTTCCACGGTAGCTTCGTAAAAGGGTTTTAAAATGACACAAATTTGTTCCATACCTTTCCACTCTTCCATAGAAATTATTGGAAGATCGGTTTCTAAATTTGGAATGGTAGCTCGTAATGGTTCTCCTAGCTCAACAAACCTTTCCAAGCATTAAGTAAACTGAATTCCACCTCGTAGGTACCGATTTTCTTACTGTTTTAGGTTGTGCCACATTCCGTTGGTTGATCTGGTATTTTAATAATTTCTCCTTGGCTATGGTGCTCTTTCGAAAGTGGCTTACAACTCTTTGCACTTTAGTTAAGGTATCTCCAATTTCCTTAAGTGCGTCTTGAACCACGAAGTTCAACTTATGTGCAAAACATCCAAAATGTGGCAAGCCGTCGACTTCGAAATATCTGGCAGCACTCTTCATGTTGGATACATTATCGGAGACAAAAAAATTTACTTTGTCTTAAATGCCCCAGGTTTGCAATATTTTTTTTTAATTCTCTATATTATATCCTTATACCAGTATGGTGTCCTTCAAATTCGCCACATTGTATTAATACTGATTTTAATTGCATA